AAAGACTAATATTCTAACAGAACACTGAATTTGAGAATGAAATCAGTCCATAACATTGGTGTTTGTATGAAGTGTGGCATTGCTTATATTATTATGTGTTAAGCCAAAAAAACTGCCATTAAGTAAATTACAGGATAGTGACATGTCTAAATGGATGGTAACAAATTATAACTTCAAGTCACTACTTGACCTCTATGGTTGACCCTCCAAAAAACGTTTAGTTTGATCAGAGTAATGCACTGAAACAAACAGGGCTATAGCTTTAAGGAAAAAAAAAATAAAAAGAAAAATTCTACGCCAAAAGGTACCTGGGAGCAGATGTGTACGCTAGCTTAGGGCCCATGCTTTGTGTTAATAAGGCAGAGGAAGAACGTGGGATTCACAAAGCCACAGTCAGGCCATAGTGGAGAGGAAAAGGAAGAAAGCATACATTTATTGAGTACCTAATGTGTGCTACGTTGGCACTGTGCTGATATTCAACATTAAATATCACAGAACCCTCAGAAAATTCTTAGGAAGTATTATCCCCATTCTTCCTCAAAGGGGAGCATTCAGGAGAGACCCCGTGGTGGGAGGCAATTCAGCTACATCAGACACTTGCTTCTCTTCCTCTGCTGTACAGACAGTGGGGAAATGCGGAAGAGCCCAGGCTCTGCAGTCAGGCTGTCTGGCTGTCTCAGAGGCAGCCTCAGTCACCTAGCAGCCATGTGACCTTTCGAGGTCCATGTGTGCAGCAGCATCACCCCACAAACCCTGCAGCAGATTTCCTGCCCCCACAAGTTGACGTCCCATCTACTTTGAAAGCCTCCCAACAACCTCAGATGCACAGGTCAATCTAGTTTTCATCTTGCTCTTCTTTCCTGGTTTGCTTTATGAAGGCAACAAAGATCCCCCCTCAAAGGCAGGTGTATAATTTGTGAGACCTATTGCAAATGCAAATGCAGAGTCCTTGTTCAGGAAGCAGAGAAACAATGCCATTAAAGGTACTAAAACCATTTAGTTTTTCTTCTGCGGTCTCTCAACTTTCTATGGTGCCTTGTATTTATTATGTGAAAATACATTAAAAAATTAAAATATTAAATTATTAGCATGAATTTTACCATTCTTTTTTTAATCCTCACCTGAGGATACATTTTTTATTGATTTTTAAAGAGGTAGGAAGGGAAACAGAGAGAGAGAGAGAGAGAGAGAAACATTGATGTAAAGGAGAAATATCAATGACGGGTTACCTCCCAGAATCGAACTGCTGACCTTTTGGTACATGGGGCACACCAACAAACCAAGCCACACCAGCCAGGGTACCGTTCCTTTTTATATTAGTCAAGTCAGTTTTAAATGCAAATATAAGAGCTTTTAACATATGCAAAAATCACAGAAATTACACAGTTGGCATTTCATAGCTTGTACAGGCACTTTCTTATCAGAACAGTGGAATGGTAAACAGAATTGTCAACTGTGTCTATTTCACACCCCCCCCATATATGAACATTCTGTCAACACAACCTTCAGCTCACTAATGGGTAAGGAAGGACAGAAAGGAAAGGAAAGAGAAGATTCCTTGGTCATTCACATATATTAGACCACTATTGCTTTTCTGTGCTTAAAGACAATTCTGGTTCAACTGGAAAGCATGGTCTCCCAGAACTGTCAGCAACCCCACCTCCTCAGTTGCTAGATAAACATACTTTTCTCATACTCATTTTGAGTCTCAGTGAATTCCCAGGATTGTGGGAATTCTCTTCTCCTGGGATATCACAGATACTGCATGTCAATGACATAGCAAGAAACAACAAACATTGTATGCCTGTATCACCTCTTTCCCACTCATGATCCATTGTCCCATGGACTTCACTTTCAGAATGCAGTTCAAAGAATTTCAAGAAGTCACAGCAGAGCATTAAACCACGGAAGGGGTCCTTCTGAACAAAGCATGTGCTTTGGCCGTGCTAGAATTATTAACATCATTCAAGCTTCATGTAAAAATAGATAAGGAGCCTGTTAATAAAATATTTCCAGGACCTAGCCTCAAAGAGTCTTGTGTAAATTCTAGAATCTATATATTTGATAAGATCTGTGAGTGATTGGGATGGACTTCCGGGTTTGCAAAACACCGCCCTAGTGCAGGTCCAAGTCTCTGAAATATGACCTGCTTCCAGGCATCAGCCCTGGCAGTCAACTGCTTTTCTTTCTCTTATTTACTCCATCACGCACAACCAAGTTTGACACTAAGGGAAAGTCTAGAATGGAAGGAGTGACAAAGGGAAGGAAAACAACTCTGATATACCTGTGGGCTGTAAATAAGATGTTATCATCTGGTTGGTAGTCCTATTGGCTCCCTGGCTCTCCTTGGAGCCACTCCTCCTGTGCTCTCTAAGCAGGGGTATCTGTACACTGAAGTCGGCCCCTTTGCCCAGCTGCTCCCTTCCTCAGCTCCTAACCGCATGATTGGCCCTGCCTTTTGACCTGGCTCTTTGAACCAGCTTCTTCAGAACCACCTTCCCCTTCTTCCTCAACTCTTCACTCCAAATTGATCTGTTCTTTCAAATCATCCTTCCAGATCACAGGCAAATGCCTCCTCTTTTCTCTGTCATCTCTGTCACTGCCTTGATTTATTTAGAGCTTATTATTATTTCCTCTCCTGAGTCACTTGAATGACCTTCCACTGAGACTCCTTACTTGCCTCCCTGTCTGCCCTCAACACTACAATGAGATTCTTCTAAAATCCAGATCTAATATAATTGTCTTATCCAAATCCTTTCATGGCTCCTGAAAGTCTCGAACAAAATATTTAAATCCTTTATTGTCGTATGTTAGGCCCTTAAAGACGTGACTATTTCTAACACAGACACTAAGTGCCAGCAGGCACAGTGCTGGGCAGCTCTGTAAGCATATCTGTTCTCTGCTCCTGCTGGGTTTCTGCAATGTTAATAGTTCCCTCTGCTTTGAATGGCCCTCTTCAGCCCTTCCTCTTTCCTTACATACCTACCAAATTCTTGTTTGTCATTTTATGGGTTAGCTAAGAAACCAACTGAAAAAATCACCTCCTTTTCAATTTCCTAACACTCCTGCTCACCCCATCTTAATGACTGGGGTGACTGACTTAATGACTTAATGACTGACTTAATTGTTCCCCCACAATTTGAGATAAACCTCCTGTGTCCTCCCAACCAGGCTGTGAGGACCTTCAGGTTCCTGCATGAAATAAGCTGTCAATCACTGGAGAAAAAAAGGAATGGCAACAAGATAGATGGGAAACAAGGGATGGCTCAAACAAATCTGCTCTCCCAACACCTCACAGTTCAGTTGGCAGAACACTGTCTCCATTCCCACCATCCTAGATGATTAGAAAAAGAATTTTGATGCCCACTAGAATTTCTCAAAAAGATTGCCATTCACAACCCACAGAAAAATCTTTTATAATTCTCCTCCCCAGTGCTCTCTTCCTAGGACTTCCATGCCTCAACAGCTGCCTGAGAGACTGTCTCCAGTCTCTCATGATGGTTTTTCTCTTTTCCACCTAACTACCTTCCTGAATCTGTGTTTTCTCTTGGGAGTTCTTTACATTCTAAATATACAACCCAGCTTACCTGCTGCAACATTGCAGGTCGGAAGAAATCACCAGAGAGAAAGAGAGAGAGATTTGCTATTAGTTCCTACATGTTTAGCCATTAGTATGGCATTTAACACAGTGGCTCTCAACCCTGGCTCTATATTAGACTCACCAAAGGAGCATCCAAAAATAACCCAGCTCAGGGCCCATGGCAGAGCCACCAAAAAAACAAAGGCAGATTTCAAGCATCTCTGAATTATATTTCTGTCATGTGTTTTCCAGTGCCTTAGAAAGACCCCCTCCCTTCTGTACCTGGAAGCCCCATCCCTGCAGATCTTTTTCTCGTTGACCTTGATCAGCCTGACAGCAGAAACCAAGGGAGCAGACAAGGCATTACCCTCAAAAGTGCAGGAAGAGGAGGCTGCATGTACTGATAACAAACTTTGTACCCAGAAACTCACTCCTGCTTTTTGCCTTGTGATTAAACCTTTTACTTCTATGGGGTCCTTAAACTCTTCTTCCAAGCAGAAGTCCTTACCTCAATTCCCTACCTGGAATTCTCAGTATAAAGGTCCATAAACACACCTTTCAGAAGCTGGGTGACGTTTTGGGATCCCTCCTCCCCGACAAAAGAAAGACCTTTTGTCTCCACCTAGTTCTAGAATCTCAGCCTTGACCTAGGTGCCGTCTGCCCACCTGCAGGGTCTTATACCATTAACGATCTCAGAGCTTCTTAATACCCACAAAACTACTGCCAGGACCTTCCCCTGGTGCCTGAGGCTAGATTTCTCCCAACCTTCTCCCTGTTCCGTATGCATCTCTATTAGCTATATCCTGAGTCCTCTGGGTACTACAATTCACTGCACCGTGCGGTGGCCCCAGACCAGCACAGGGAGAGGGAGAAGAAGGAACACCGAAACAACCCATCTTTCACTAGTCACTGTGGCGTGGTCATGAGCTTTTGCAATAGAACAAACATAACATACCCTCAGCAACTATAGAAAGAGATGTTCTTTATACTCCTGTCAAACCACAGAGAGCACTCCAAAGCTGATGCTACGTTATCTCAATTGTTTGAATCTCTTTAATTACCAGATCAGTTTTACTCCATTGTAAAGGCCTACTTATTGTAAAGTACCCACTGAATTTCACTTACTAAAAAAAAACAAGAGCTTTTAATTCCAATTTTTTAGGTATTAATTTTTTCCCTGTGTTGACCAGGACGCTCATGGCTTTGAAAAAAATAAAATAGAACACTTTTTAGTGCTCAGTTTCTGTGGTTGTAAACAATAGTGCCCAGTCACACACATACTTGAGTGTTTATGAGCAGCTAGAAGTGTGTTATAACTTTCTGTACTGCTCTAGAACTCAGAAGCAGACATAGAATGCAGTTGACTAGATCCCTGGAATTCCTCCCTGTGAGCATGCGCCATGCATCTTCTCATTCCAGGGCTGGATGGCGACGACTTCCTGGCTGTAGGCCTGCGCAATGGCAGCATCGTGTACAGTTACAATCTGGGATCCGGCGTAGCAAGCATCAGCAGCGATCCTCTTGATCTGAGCCTTGGGATTCACACTGTCCATCTGGGGAGGTTCTTGCAAAGGGGCTGGCTGAAGGTAAAAAGTTATTCGCTCATCCGTCCTACAGTCTAACTCAGTGCTACTTCACTGTCGGATCTGTGCGGCAGTACAGAGGCAATAGGCCATGCTGCCTGCCACCATGAAGTCACAGACCAATGCACAATGTGGAGGACAAGAAGGATGATTGCAATTAACTGGTGCGGGAATAAATAAGAGGGATGACCGACATAAATAAGATGAGGGAAAGCATTCAGGAAATGCTTCCCCAAACAGGTGATGCGTAAGTATAACTTCAAATAAATAGCCGTTCAGAAAAAAGAACAGTGGCTGGTGTGGGCTTAAGGAATGCAAGTAATTGGGTGTGGCTTTCAGGTGAGAAGCAAGAGACATGGGTAGAGGTAGACAGGGAGGGTCTACGCCATCAAAGGACTTGGATGTCACACTAAGAAATTTAGAATTTTACCTAGGGAGCTGTAGAGAACAACTGAGAAATGTAAGAAGGGAGGGTGGATACCATGGTCATTTCCATTTCCTGACAAAAGACTCGGGTTGTTGCATAAAGAATAGATGGAAGAGGAAAGCAAGGCTAGGTGGAGGAGGACCAGCAGGGTGCTAGCTCCCAAATCCTTGAAGAACTTTGATTGAAATGCAAAACCATGACTGCTATATTAATATATCTGTCATAACAGACACCAGCAGAGAAGCAAGAAATTGAGTGGTAAAGTGTTTTTTATTTCTTAAAAAATTCAGGTCTTTATAAATTTTTCATGCCAAGTTAATGGGAAATAAGAGTATCTTACCAGTTCACCCTAGGGAATTAATTCCTTTTTTAATAGATTCTGATTTTTTTTTCCTTTTGAAGGTAGATGATCATAAAAATAAATCCATCATCTCCCCAGGAAAATTAGTTGGTCTCAATGTCTTCAGTCAGTTTTACGTGGGTGGCTACAGTGAATACACTCCAGATCTCTTGCCACATGGAGGAGATTTTAAAAATGGCTTTCAAGGTAAGACATGGATGATTTTTACACTATACCTACTTGTTTCAAAATTTGAGAAAAGAAAGTACCTTTAAAAAGTATACTTGTAGTTCCTAAACCAGCTATATGGATTGCTTTTTAATTGAACTTTATCAAAGTTTGATTTTAATGGAAAGCATTCATTCTTATTAATCCCTTACCATCTATGAAGTAGGTGCTTAGGATGTTTCAGTGAAAAAAAAAAGGTTCTAACTTTCATGAGTTTACATTCTACTTGGTCAAAGGAAGGAACATATAATAAACACTAAATGTAATAGGATGATAAATTCTGTGGGGCAAGATAAAGGAAAAGTAGAGAGTGATTTTTTTCTATACAGAGAACTTTTTAATATAGGTTAAGTAGTGTAGACCTCATGGAGTCACATTAAAATTGAAATTCCATCCAACTTTGCAATGTACTTGATATGAAAGATGAATGACAGACTGCAGCCAACCAATCCATACCACGGAGGTGTTGTCCTGTTACCAGGAAGACCTGAGTTAGGGAACTTCCCCTCCTCAGTTCTTGCCTTGCTCACAGGAGAATTCAGGCAAGAGACAGCATGTACTAGTGGAAATGAGATAAGTTTATTTATGAAATACACTTGTGCACAGAACTATTAGGCAAGCACCGAGCTAGTCTGAATGCCCCACATGTAGAGGAAACAAAGTTGTTAGTAAGTTTGTTCTATACGCTTGAACCCAAAATGCAAGTGGGCACCCAGCTAATTCGAGTGCCCTGACTATCAACTATCAGACTCCAGGAGTTATATACTTTAGTCAGGTTCTCGGTACCTGCTCCTTCTCTCCCTTTCAGACCTTGGGATATTAATATACCGTTACAAAGATTTTCTTTTCCAGCTACGTAGTTGAAAGGTTATACACAGAATTTCAAGGGCTCCCCTCCTCCTGCACTATCATAGTTTTGCTTGTGATGTTCGGAAATCCTGGCAACCTTATTGAACCAGGCTCAGGACTGCTGAATCAATGGGTGAGACATGTCTCCCTTTTGTTTCCAGTCTCTTGTTTTAAGTTCTTGATTAGACTGCACTGGGCAGGGCCCCTGCTTTATTTCCCCTCCAGCCACTCGTTCCTGGCTGGCACCTAACAGTCCCATGGAGGACAAGAGGTTTAAGACCCCACATCATGCTTGGGCAAGCAATCGAATCACCATAGTCTGTCTCCCTGTGTTCAAAAAGGAACACACATTCAGTCTTCCTTATAAAGGTGATTCATAGTAGAGTTATAAAATAAACACATGCTTTGAATTGTTATAATAATGCATTTATTGAAAATAAGCTCTTTGGTGGATCCCTAGTCCCAGAATATTTGGACAAGGGGCTACTCATTTGGTCAAGGGGCTACTCAGTCCTGAGCTGCTCACACATGACCAGCCTAGCCTTTATCAGAAATCAAGGAAGGGTGACCAGGATGGGATACACATCCCTGTGAGACATCAAAAGACATTTCAGGCACTTGAGTTCCCTGCCTGCCTGGCATCAACCTTCTCCTCACCCTCAGTGACTTCTGCCCAGTGATGCAGAAGGCCATGTACTTGAAACATATGAAAGCAATATAGCTAATCCAATATAATACAAGGTCAGGTTTCAATAAAATTAGTTCTTTGTGCCAAGGCTCTCAAAGAAACTTTTTCTTTGAATGTGTAATCAGTGCTGATCCTTGGTTTGAAGAACATTAAGGCACTATGGTAAAAAAGTCAAGAGCTCAACAGTTCTTTCACAATGGGAGAAATCTGAAAAGGATTGTAAGGGCATAACAAATCAATGAAATTTTAAAAACATTAATTCAAGGAAAAGAATGGGTAAACTTAAGAATGTGTAAGCAGCACATCTTCCACTCAATGAAACAGACTCCTTGGGAAGTCACCACAAACTGCTGACATTTGATCATAGACATGATTCTTACATGAATACTCTGGATTTGTGTAAGCATCAAGGACAAGATCATGAACTCTGAAACCCAACTGCCTGGGTCTGCACCTCAGCTCTGCCACCAACCAGCTTCATGGGCCTGGCTAGGAACCGTGCTGTGCCTTGCTGTGCCTCATCTGTAAAATGGAACAATAGCAGCACTTGTCTGGCTTGTAGTTCTGAAACTGAGTTATGGAAAGAGAACACAGATGACTAACTGGCTTAGAGTGCTCCTTGTGTTCTCGAGGATGGTGGCACTGCTGGTGGGAGGTGACCCAGCTCCAGTCAGACAGTGGGTGAGAGCACAGGCCCTCCAGGCAGGCTGCCTCCAGACTTGGGCCCTGCAGCCTAGCAGCCATGTCACTCTGAGCCTTTTCCCGAAACTCTCTGAACCACCATTTTCTGCAAAATAAAAACACCTACCCCAGGGGGTTCTTGTGAGTTACTCAAGTAACTACAGTAATGTTAAGTGCTCAACCCAGAAAGCAGCAGTACATGATGAACACTCAATAAATATGAGCTAATATCAGGGCTCCACCCTGTTTCCATTGGACTTGACAGTTTCAAATTTACTAAAGTCCAGTGCTTCCTGGTTTCCTGGTGTTTTTCACCCTTATGTTAGGAACTTTTCTTCACATCTTGACAAGGAGAACAAAGGGAGGCTTTCTGCAAAACCTGCCATCTTCCTCCTTAAGTGTGTTAATGAGACTCAGTTCAGCACACTGACAGCTGGTCCTTCCTGTGAGAGAAATGCTAGGATTGCCCCCCATCTGGAGAGAGGCATGTCTGCTGCCACGGTCCTGAGTCAGGGTGGAAATCTTGGGAGGGTCTTCTTGGGAACTGCCACTTAATCCACAATCTTATGGAAGCTCTGAGACCTGAGAAGCTCCTAATTTTATCATTTGTCTCAAATTCTCACTTCATGTCTGCCTCTCCTTCATTAGAAACTAGCATTTCCTATATACTACAAATCATCGACAATTATTACCAACCTACCATAAAGAGCAGATCACAACTATACTATCAACCTACGAGTCCCCAAAACTCACCTCTATTGGCTCTAGAGAATGATATAGGGTGACTGCTTTAAAACACCAGTTTCTGAACTCTATCCCAGAACTACTTAATTGAAACTTCTAGGAAGGCGTCTAAAAATTTGCATTTTAGAAAGCCTTTCCAGATTTGGAATTCACTACATTAATTAATCATGTCAAAGCAAATAGACTTATGAAGAATTTAATAACTAATCTTGTCTTAGCCTAATATTAAATTCTGACATCACTAAAACATATAAATAAGGCCTCATTATTGTTCTTTAGAATGGGGGTTAAATCATACACAGTATCTGATTCAGGCTTTCACATTTCTGTAAACACTCCTGATAACTGACTCTAATGCAGAAGTTCTCAGTCTAAACTACAAACCTCCAAGTCGCGTCTATTACCAAGGTGCAGGGTTCTCAGATGAACACTCAGTAATGTGCTTCATGGGCCTGGCTAGGAACTGCGGGGTTCCTAGCGGAACCATGAGGGTCGGGGATGGGCTATAGTGGTCTCCTGGGCCTCCTGACATCAACTGTGTGTGACTGTGCACATTTTTCTAGAAGGTCCATAGCTATCATCAGTGTTCTAGATCGTTTACTTCCTCTAACGGACCTACTAGCCCAGATATCGAATTAAAAATTACTTTTGACTAATGTGAACATGGGGGAAACTATTACCCCATCTACCTACTATTCTAGTGTTCCCGCAACTAGTGTCCATTGATAGAGGAATTATTAAATACTTAGTAATCAGCTGAATGCAGTGAACATAACCTAGACTCAGATTCACCAACACCACGGTGAAAATGTGTTATTCCGTCCTGTAGTGCCCTACCTTATCACTACGGTCAGTTTCTTGCTAGTTCAACTTTTTTCTCTCTTTTTTCAATTGTATGAGACTTTTCAAAAGAGTCCATAAGAAGAAAAATGATTTTATTGCAATAATTTAAATATTCTTTCACTGTCAAAAAAAAAAAGCCATTGCTTATTTGGAACTTAGCCAGTCTGAATGGCTCTGAAATTCTTTATCGTAACTACTGTATCACATGCAAGATACATGCATTGAATACCTGTTGCATCGTGCTATACTAAGCAGTTACATTTTATCTTATCTGCTATATTAATAGGAGTGGAATTACAAAATCTACATTCTACAAATGGCTTCTACTATAACTGCCTTTAAATTGGTGATATGTTGACTGAGAGGAAGCATTTCTCTAAAATAAACACATTTAACTATTTGTATTTGCTAAACATTTCTCAAATATAGCTTTGCCACGTTTTTAGTCAGAAACATATTTCAGCATTTCCTCACAACAAAAGTATTTCTTATTCATATAAAAGAGAAGAGGTTTAAAATGAACAGTTTCAGACATTAATACATTTAGCAAAGTTTTTTTGGTGCACAATTATAAAAACTACAAAACCTAGTATTAGCATCCTACAATGTTTTGTTAAAAAGAATTTTTTTTATAAAGGGAATAAAGGATTTCTACCCTGACCAGTGTGGCTCAGTGGGTTGTATGTTGTCCTGCAAAGCAAAGTGTCACCAGTTCGATTCCCAGTCAAGGCACACGCCTGGGTTATGGGTTTGGTCTCAGTGGGTGCGTGTGCAAGAGGCAACAAATTGATGTTTCTCTCTCACATGGATGTTGCTCTGCCTTTCTTGCTCCTTCCCTTCCCCTCTCTCTAAAACTAAAATAAAGAAAATCTTCTAAACAAAGGATTTCTGGGACAGTGTGGTAGGGGGTGGGGTTGGTGGGCAAAACAAGATCCACCTGCCAGGCATTACTACTGGCCGGTTTACCCATGTTATCTTGTTCCTCTTAACCTGTGGGGTGTTTTTGTCACCATTTCCAAGGTGAAAAGATCAGCACTCAGTTCGATTTGGTTCATGTGGCCATTATGTGGGAGAGATTATAATTGAACTCGGACCCACCTGACTTCAATCCGCTTTTGCTCTCTGCTGAGTGCCTTTCACTCTGCAGAAGCCGTGGAAAGCCCTGCTGTGTCAGTCTAGCAGGTTATTCAGTATAAAGCAGCTCGCATTCATTCATTCATTTCCTCACTCAGTACACCATATTAGTGCTTTTTATGTAACGTCAGATGGCTTGGGGGAAGAACAAAGATTAAATCTAAGGAAGAAAATTACAGTACTCTCATAATGAGACAATACTGGTGCATGCTTTAAGAATCGTGCTTGTTAGTGAGAATTAGGTTAAAAAATAAACTCTTGACCTTTCAAAACTTAACCCTTTTTCTTCACCAACAGGAATTACTCTATACTTTTAGCTTCAAAAACTGTTTCCAAGTAAAATCCAATCTAGCCTGTCTTCTATTATTTTCAAGACCCTATTTATGGTTAATGTCCATATTGATTTGACACTACATCATAAACAAACTCTGAGTAAGTGCTAAAGGAAATGAATAAAATTATATTTCAGTATCCTAAACAATTCTATAAATTATTCATTGAACTGCCCTTTTGTTTATATTTATTTAATGTTGGGGTGGAAAAGATCCTTTTTCCAAATGTATTGAGGTCTAATTGACAAATAAAAATGATGTATATTTAATGTGTACAACGTGATGATTTGGTATACATATACCTTATGAAAAGAGTACCACCATCAAGTTAATTAGCACACTCATCACCTAACAGTTTTCTGTGTGTGTCTCCAATGAGCACATTTCATATCTACTTTCTCAGCAGACTTCAGGTGTGGTTAACTGCACTCACATGCTGCACATCAGCTCCCCAGGACCTGCTCATCTTTGAACTGGAGGTCCATGCCCTCTGACCAGCACCTCCCCTTTTCTCCCAGTGCCAGTGCCTGGCACCCACCGTTCCACACTGCTTCTATGGGGTCAACTGTTTAAGATTCCAGATATAAGTGAGGTCATACATTATGTGTCTGTAAAAGACCTTTCTAAGAGCAAATGCAAAATCCATGGAGGAAAAATAAGATAAATGTGGCAACATATTATAAACTTCTCCACGTAAAAATAAAAACTTCACCATAAGCAAAATTAAATAGCAAATATTAAACTGGAAAAAGGACTTACAATATACAACAAACAGCTAATATGCTTATTAGAGAAAAACAATATATAATAAGCAATCAAAAAATTACAAATGGCTGATGAATTTTAAAAGATGTTAAACCCCAATTAAAAATAGTAAAAGAGTATGCATTGTATAGTTTATTTCATTTAAAGATGAGACAGCCCTCTCCAGCTGGTTCAGTTGGTTGGAGAATCACCCCATACACTAAAAGGCTGAGGTTCCTTTCCGGTCAGGACGCACACCTAGGTAGCAGGTCTGTTCTCCAGTGGGGGCACGGGTGGGAGGCGACCGACCGATGTTTCTCTTTCACATAGATGTTTCTCTCTGTGTGTCTCTGCCTCCCCACCTTCTTCTCTCTAAAATCAATAAACGTATCCTCAGATGAGGATTTTATTTTATTTTACTTTATTTTGAAATGTTGATATTTGGTGGTTTTATTCTTTTTTTTTTCTCATTGTTGTTCAAGTACAGTTGTCTGCCTTTTCCCACTGGTGGTTTCATTATAAGCAATGGAAAGCCACTAAAAAACTTTAGGCTGGAGGATGACTTCATCAAATTATATTTTATTATTCATTTTTGTTTTTTTAAATATATTTTATTGATTATGCTATTAGAATTTTCCATTTCTTTCTCCCCTTTATGCCCCTCTGCCCTGCACTCCCTGTCCCACTGGCATCCCTGCCTCCTATAGTCCATGTCCATGGTTCGTACAAATAAGTTCTTTGGCTTCTACATTTTCTGTACTATTCTTAACTTCCCCCTGTCTATTTATAACCTACCACTTATGCTTCTTATTTCCTGGACCATTTCCCCCATTCTCCCCCCTCTCCCTCACCACTGATAACTCCCCATAGGATCTCCACTTCCGTGATTCTGTTCCTATTCTAGTTATTTGCTTAGTTTGTTTTGGGTTTTTTTTTTTAAGTTCAGTTGCTGATAGTTGTGAATTTGCTGTCATTTTTCTGTTCAGAGTTTTGATCTTCTTTTTCTTAAATAAGTCCCTTTAACATTTCATATAATAAGAACTTGATGATGATGAACTCCTTAAACTTGACCTTATCTGGGAAGCACTTTATCTGCCCTTCCATTCTAAATGATAGCTTTGCTGGATAGAGTAATTCATCTTGGATGTAGGTCCTTGCCTTTCATGGCTTTGAATATTTCTTTCCAGCCTTTTCTTGTGTGTAAATTTTCTTTCGAGAAATCAGCTGATAGCCTTATGGGAACTCCTTTGTAAGTAACTGTCTCCTTTTCTCTTGCTGCTTTTAAGATTCTCTCCTTATTTTTAATCTTGGGTAACTTAGTTATGATGTATTTTGGTGTGTTCCTCCTTGGGTCCAATTTCTTTGGGATTCTCTGAGCTTCCTGGACTTGTATGTATATTTCCTTTGCCAGAAAGGGGAAGTTTTCTTTCATTATTTTTTCAAATAAGTTTTCGATTTCTTGCTCTCCTTCTTCTCCTTCTCGAACACCTGTGATTCAGATATTGGAATGTTTAAAGTTGTCCCAGAGATTGCTAAGCCTCTCCTTACTTTTTTGAATTCCTGTTTTTTCATTCTGTTCTGGTTGGATGTTTATTTCTTCCTTCTGTTCTAAGTCATTGATTTGAGTCCCAGTTTCCTTCCCTTTGCTGTTGTTTCCCTGTATATTTTTCTTTATTTCACTTTGTATAGCCTTCACTTCTTCCTCTATATTGTGACCAAACTCAATCAATTCTATGAGCATCCTGATTACTAGTGTTTTGAATTCTGCATCTGATAGGTTGGCTATCTCCTCCTCATTTGATTCTATTTTTGGAGTTTTGATCTGTTCCTTCATTTGGCCCATATTTCTTTGACTCAGTGTACCTGTTATGTTATAAGGCGCAGAGGCTTAGGTATTCACCAAGGTGGGGCAACCCCCTTCACTGAGTTGTGGTGCTGTATGAGGGCAAGGGGTCAGAGAGAGAACTGTGCTGCTTGCTTGGCTCTCGCCCTGCTTTCAGTCACTTCTTCCACTACGCACAAGTAAATTTGGCCCTTCTGGTGCTGATTCCTGAGTGGGTGGGTTTGTGCACATTCTAGGATCCTGTGTGTCTCTCAAATGAGGATTTTTAAAAAATGAAACAGATAATAATGTGCAGGTGCCTGTGAAGTGGGTATCCTAATACAGTGTCGGGGAGATATAATTGTGCAAAATATCTATGACACCTGGACACACTTCAGAGCACTCATATCTTTTTCCCTAGCAGTTTTACTTCTAGAAATTTATACCAAGAAATAATTAGCAAATGCACAAAGATATATATACAATAATATTTATTATAACATTATTTCTAATAACAAAAAGATAAAAATGTGTCAATTTCTCAATAATTGAAGGTTAATTAAATAATTTATGATATAAGAGAATATTTAATGGGAGGGAAGTGGGGAGGGTTGGGAAGGGGGGCTGGATTGGGAGTAAAAGGGAGAAAACTGTATTTGAACAATGATTAAAATAAAATTTTAAAAAAGTAAAAAAGAAACACTGAAATATAGACACAGCAAAAAAAAAAAGAGAATATTACACCATCACTTAAAAATAGTTAATGTGATAAGAGTTAATGGTATTTATGCCATACAAATCTTTGGTGTACTGCTATATATCATATAATTTAATGAGGATTCTACCTTGTCTAAAAAATACAACTAAGCATAAAAACATATTTTTTATGTTTATGTATTTTTACTTTTACATACTTCTTTCTTTTCTTAAAATTGACATGATTACTTTGTGTGTTTAAAATGTTACTTTAAAAATAAGAAAATAATTGTCTTCCTGTGTTATTATTTCTTCCATTTTTTACATGAAGTATTTTTCCCTTTTCCAAGGTTGTATTTTCTCTATTCAAGTTCGCACTAAGAAGGATGGCCATTTCAGAAGGCTGGGAAACCCTGAGGGCCACCCAAGTGCTGGACGCAGCGTTGGCCAGTGTGACACTTCTCCTTGCAGTTTAATGAACTGTGGCAATGGCGGAACATGCAGAGACAGTGGATCCACTGTCTAGTAAGTATGACACCAGGAGTGAAGGTAGCAGGTTATTTGCATTGTAACTGGTACTTTACTCACACAAACTAGGAATGCAAACTGACCCTCATGTTTTAAATGTTTTCAAGTAGACTCACTAGACCACCAGGGGACACATAAAAGCAACTAGAGAAAGATCAGCACAGCAGTGACGCCATTTTCTTAGTTCTTTTAAACAGTGGAAATGAATCACTACATCTCATTCCAGGCACCATGGAAAATATACCTCAAAATCACAGTCTTCAGAGTGTTACCAGAAGTGTTCATCATACATGTTGCTATTTCTTAGTGCTTTTTCCTTTCATGCTCAGGTTAGAGCTCCTTTGAAAAGGGTCATCCTGTCTAGGTGGAGCCAAGCAAAGCAGTGCAATTTAACTTCTGAACTGCTTTAGTATGAAACGCAAATGTGAACGTGTTAAGTGGGGGAAAAAAAAGAGCAAAGGAAAGGTTGTCTTATAAATAACTACTTTTGTTGAGCATCTCCTCTGTGCATAAATAGTATTTGAAGAGCTCTGAGCATTAGCTTTACCATTATGATTTTATCCTCACTGTTTTATAATTTTTAATGTATTTTAATAGCAAATTTACAGAAACGGCATAGAAGACAGACAAGATTAAAAACATGTACTTGCACAATGACCTGTGTACCTCAGTTGGTTGGGCATTGCCCTGCAGAGCAAAAGGGCATTGGTTCAACTCCCAGTCAGGGCATATGCCTGGGTTGTGGGTTCAGTCCCTGTCAGAGTGCATAAGAGAGGCACCTGATCAATGTTCATTGATGCTTCCCTCCTCTCTTTCTTTCTCCTTCCCTTCTCTCTAAAAATAAATAAAATCTTTTTAAGATGACATATACTTACATGTAGAACAACTCAGTTATAAAAGTAGAGTGAATAGATGGAATCTATCTTCGCAGATAAACTAGGCAAAAACGGGCAGCGACACAGACCACGCAACCCAGGGCCCCAGTGCCAGGAAACAAAGCCTAAAAGCACTGATTGAAAACACCTGTTGGGGTTGAGGCTGGGAGACTCTCTCAGCCTCACAGAAGAGCTCCTTGGGGAGACCCACAGAGTCTGAGAAAGTACACAAGCCCACCCACCTGGGAGACAGCACCAGAAGGGCCCAATCTGCTTGTGGGAAGTGACAGAGGGGACTGAAGTCCTAGAGAGAATGGAGCAGGTGACATTGTTCCCTCTCGAACCCCACCCCCACATACAACATCACAACCCAGCCACTGAGGTGCCCCACCCTGGTGAACACCTAAGGCTCCACCCCTCATACACAACAGGTATGACCAGACCAAAGAGGGGAGGGGAGAAAAAAAAAGATGGCTCAAACAGAATTAAAAGCCCCTCGGCCAGTACTTTTAAGCAAACGAGAGATTGCCAAACTATCAGATGCACAGTTCAAAGCACTGGTGATCAGGATGCTCACAGAATTGGTTGATTTTGGTTGCAAATTAGATCAACAAATGCAGGCTACAATAAGTGAAATGAAGAAAAATGCACACAGAACCAATAGTGATGGAAAGAAAACTGGGTTTCAAATAAATGGAATGGACCAGAAGGAAGACAGGAACAACCAAACAGAAAAGAATGAAGAAACAAGAATTCAAAAAAATGAAGAGAGGCTTAGGAACCTCCAGGACATCTTTAAACATTCCAACATCCGAGTTATAGGGGTACCAGAAGGGGAAGAGGAAAAACAACAAATGGAAAAGTTATTTGAACAAATAATAAAGGAGAACTTCCCCAATCTGGCAAGGGAAATAGACTTCCAGGAAATCCAGGAAGCTCAGAGAGTCCCAAAGAGGTTGGGCCCAAGGAAGAACACACCAAGGCACATCATAATTACATTAGCCAAGGTAAAAATGAAGGAGAGAATTCTAGAAGCAGCAAGAGATAAGGGGACAGTTACCTACAAAGGAGTTCCCATCAGAATGTCAGCTGATTTCTCAAAAGAGACCTTGCAGGCAAGAAGGGACTGGAAAGGAGTATTCCAAGTCATGAAAGGCAAGGACCTACACCCAAGATTGTTCTATCCAGCTAAGCTTTCATTTATAATGAAAGGGCAGATAAAGTGCTTCTCGGATAAGGCCAAGCCCTTATTATATGAAATGTTAAAGAAAAATATTTTTTATCTAAGAAAAATAAGATAAAAAATATGAACAGCAAAAAAAGACATCAAACTCACAGTCACAACCACACCTAAAACAAAAGCAAACTAAGCAAACAACTAGAACAGGAACAGAACCACAGAAATGGAGATCACATGGAGGGTTAGCAACAGGGGAGTGGGAGGAGGAGAGAGGGGGAAAAGATATAGAGAATAAGTAGCATAGACAATAGGTAGAAAATAGACAGGGGGAGGGCAAGAATAGTATGGGAAAGGTAAAAGCTAAAGAACTTATGACACATGGACATGAACTAAAGGGGAGAATTTGGGTGGGAGGGGGTGGGCAGGGTGGAGGGGAGTAAAGGGGGAAAATGGGACAACTGTAATAGCATAATCAATAAAATATATTAAAAAATTTAAAAAATAAAAGATTTAAAAAAAGGCCAACCAGACAGACCTCACTTGCCTCCTGCAAAGCACCAAAAGTTGTGCCCTTTAAGCACAGATCTGTTTTGAAGTCCTGAGCAGTAACTCACACCAGATTCTGGAAGGGAAGTTTGAGGATCAGAACAGAAGTTCAGTGGACTTCTGATAACTTCTAATTTCTCAGAGAGCGGAAGTACCAGGACTGTAACGATGAGGTTTCTTCACTTGTCCAGTGGAGGGCACACTCACACTGGAGGCTTTTGTAGCCAGTTGCTTTCTCTGGGCTGTATGGTTGGTCGTTGGTAGGGAGTCTGCTTTGTACCTGCAATAATGTGGAGTTACTCCCTTTTCTGGTTGCAGCTCCCCAGCTAGAGATGGTGCTGACGTTAGAGAGCAATGGCGGCATGGTGGCAGCTGCAAACACCCTACAATGTTTTTTAATCTTCACCCGAGGTTATTTTTTCATTGCTTTTAAAGAGAGAGAGAGAGGGAAAGAGAGGGGGGAGGGAGAGAGAGAGAAAACACCAATGTGAGAGAGAAACATGGATTGGCTGCCTTCTCTTACCGCCCTGACTGGAGTGGGAACTTGCAACCTTTAAGTCCAGGGGAGGAGGCTCCAACCAACTAAGCCACACTGCCAGGGTCACAATTTTTAATAAAACCTTTCACTTGTTTTATAAATTATACATTATCATTTGCTCTCCAGCTAAGCTTAATTATATTTAGAGGTACAAATTTACCTCACCTTATCTAAAAAAAATGTGGCCATTCTTCAGGTGACTTATTAGGTGTGTTTGTTTTGTTTATTTTAACTGAGATAATGAATAAACTTATAATAATAAAGAATGTGATCATAAAGAATGGGAAGTGCCAGTAAAAAAGTTAAGGTGAAGATGCAGGAAGGAAACTCATCCTAACTCCTTATTATCCCATTTGGAATGAAGGGCCTCTTCCAGCACAAGAGCCTTGTGTGTTGATCTTGGAATGCATGGGAATGCATAGTGCCATGTAGAGACAGACACAACTATTTGAAGATTATTTTGATCACCATAGAAAGTGTTCTTGACTTGTGATAATAAAAGTAATATCTTACAGAACTTTGTAGTGCCAAAAGTGCCAAAAAAGCTTTTTTTATATACATTATTTTCATTGCCCCTATTTAAAACTTTCTAAATTAGTCAGGGACTATCCTAGCCCCAATTCAATGCATGGGAAACTAAGCCTAAGAGATTATGATTCAACAAAAGGATATACCAGCATTTTGTAAGTGGTACCACAGGACCCCAAACTGGATCTCCCAGTTATTGGATCAAGATTCCCTCAGGACCTAAATATTAAGAAATAAATTTAAAAGCAGTTAGCAATTTAGATGACTAGTGTTAAGTACTCCTTATCTGCTGAGTGTAATCTATTCATTTATTCTCAATTTTTTTTTAAATGTTGACATGTCCTGGATGGTGTGGCTCAGTGGGCTGATCACTGGCCTGCCAACAGAAAGGTTGCCAGTTTGATTCCCTCTCAGGGAACCTGCCTGGATTGTGAGCTGGTTGGGGTGTGCAAATAAATAATCTTTTTTTTTTAATTTGATGTTATCTTCAATTGGCATTCATATTTTCTCCAGATAGGAAATACATTGCCTCATAACACATGCCCTGGAATTTCATAAATTCCCGTGTGGGTGGAAAGCTGTACCTCACAGGCTAGCAGGAGAACCTCGATTTGAATAACAAATAAGCCTGAGTAAAGGGACAGATACCTCTGACAATTTTTTATAGTATTCTAAAATCTTTCTTATCAAATGGTGATCAGTGTTTGGAATTCTCTTACTGGCACAACAACAAAATATTTACTGTATCACTAGCATGTGAAACAGTACAGCAGAATGAGAGGTAGCTCCTGTGACTGATACAGCATTGAATGTACAGCTCCCTGAACTTGAGAGGTGGATTTTATAGTATGTAAATTATACCTCAATAATGTTGTTTCAAAACATTCAGGTTCCCACTCATGGCCATCCAACTTCAGTAGCAGCATAAGTTTAAGGAGAATTATACTTTCCAAGAGTGTTTAAGTTTTCTTCTACCCTCATCCCAATCTCTGAATATAGTTCCACATTTTTATTTTGTACCTGAATCAGAAAGTAATATTAAACTGAATTTCCTGGTAACATAATTGACAGCTCAAAGCTAGAGTTCAATCTTGCCTTGAAAAATAGCATATAATAAAACTTTTTAAATGCTCAAGAAGCAAGTCCCAACCCAGAATCATTAAGTGTCATGGTGATCAGAATCAATTTTAAAAACAAATCTCAAAGCCACTCAAAGTGTCTTAACAGCTTAATACTATTTTAAAAAAAAATTATAAGCTGTAAATGCTTACTTTACTTCCGCTCCTCCCAGCTGGAGGTGGAAGGCATTGCTTGGGCACATAAGAACAAG